TAGCATCAAGAAATATAATTTGTTGTTTTTATTACAGTATCGCGCTCATGTCATCAAACTGAATAAGTAATAATTATAGTCAATATTAACAGGTGCATAAGTCAAAGCACAAATAAAACTAAGTGATATCTAATATCTAGTTGAGCAATTTACGAGCAATAATATTTGTGCGCGAGTTTTTGTTTTTTTCATTTTTTTGTCACAAATCAAATTTATTGCGTTAGAAAAAAAACACATCTTTCTTGACATCTACGTTACCGTGACTTCATCGAACGCTCATTATTGCACGCAAAAAATGACTTAATAAGGACTGTAATTTGCTCGCGTTTCTTCAGTTTTGCGAAACGAGAGAGGCATGAATAACGTGATGCAAGCTCGAGTGTACGGCAAAATACAAGCGTGTATTAAAACCACAAGCAACGTTGCTCAGGGAGGACTGCGAGAGGACGCGAAAGAACCTAATGCGATTTTAATCGTGTGGTTTGAATTTCAAATGTTATCGACTCTGCTTTATAAAGCGGAACGCGGTCGAAGAAGCATTTTCTCAGTGGCGTATTTTTGAGACGAGGTACACTCTTAAGCTCTTTGATATAAATGGTGAAATAAATTGTTCTGTAGATGTGCACAAATATACAAAACTTTGCGAATCAAGAAAGATATAAGATGTCTTGGCCCGTTACATTGTAACAATAATTCGAGAAATTAAACCGATAGTCGCCATTAAATTAACGAAGCCTTTTTTTGTTTACGAATGATGCAAAGGTTGTCTTATAATAATGAGCTAGATCGTAATTAAATTGCGTCTAAAACCGCTTTACGATAAATGGCGACCGGTTGCTGAAAGAAGAAAATAGTTAATGTAAATTTTCTTGGGATCTGGTTTTTCTTTCAATCTTTTAACGCGAGAAATCGAGCGATAATTTAGAATGCGATTATATACATTTGCATATGTAGAATTTAATTTTTAGAATCAATTGAATATGTAAATTTTTTTAATGTAACGTCGCGATGTTCTTTACTGAATGAAGCGCGTTTCTACGCTATCTTTCTACGCCAATGCTCGGTGGAGACGTGAGCGGCGGGTCGAGGTCGCATTAGGACCTAATTTTCCATAATGGAAGAAGTCCGTGGCGTGGTACGGCGCCACTACGGCGAAGCGACCGGCTAATCGCGGTCCATTCATAACCATTCTCGGCCAGGTCGTGTGTGCAACGAGCGGGGACGATCGGCTTGGTCTCAATCGAAATTTTTACAGGTTATTTAGATACAGTACCATGTACCACGTTGACGTGTCTCGCGGATTTTGTTTGGAGAAAATGACATTAATATGCGATTATTAATCTATTCTAATTTAATTAGTGAATAAATGCAAAATAAGTCACTTCTATAAAAAAAAAGTTAGCTGTTCAAAATGATAAGATATGTTTTTTACTTTCGACCGAACTTCTCTTGTTGATCATTTTTTATATAACAACATATAGTCCACTACGAACTAAAAGCATTTGCTCAGCGTGATTTCGTATTATTGCTTTCCCCGGACAGTATTTACAGTAGATAGCACGTTCGAGATAGACGCGTCCAAAATCGATGAACGGACGACGCAGAGGTGAGAAAGGAATAGGTTCGAAGAACGGGAGGACGTTATCGGCCAGCACTCGCTACGAATCCTGGCAGCGATTATGCGTACATCGCGTGCCACCGGCGCACAAAAGGTGCGACCCGCCCACGCCCTTGCGTATCGCGGAACAGGACGGGGCAAGTGAGCGCGCGCGGGAAGGGTGCGAAAAGGGATGTTTTACAATGAACTGAACCAAAGACGGGCGTTCACGCTCGCGGCAAGGACAAATGGCCAAGCGCGTGGAAAGCAGCTATCGAATTTCCCCGAGTTTTCAGATTCTCGCACGAGAAGAGAGCGTTTCTTTTGGATTTATTGCAGTCGCGGACATGAACGTTCCGAGCGCACGAAGATGAATTGTTCGTTTCTGTTTTTTTTTTTTTTTTTTCGAACGTTTTACCTCGGCATTTAATGTATGGATATTCGATGTTGTTGAAAAATTGATTAGCGCCGATCAACTACTGATCATGATGCGTTTTCGATGGCGCGATAGATCGATGCGGCCTACATCGTATCTCTCGATGATGGATCGTTGATTGGCAGAGACGAGCCGTAGGGTTGAAAGGGAAATGGGGCCTAGGGGCCTCACGGGGGCGGATAATGACAGGGCGGCCTCGCGTAGCGAGGATGGTCCGCGTTGGGACCAGCTCGGCTTTTGCCTCTGACACGACCATGTGGCCATCGGGAGATGCTGATGGACTAATAATTACTGGGACCAGCTTCGTGTGCGTGGCGACTGGCAGCGTCGAAAATGAAGATTCACCTTACCAAGTCAAAGCCAGATCTTGTCTACTATCTGCTAACGGCATGTAAGCCTTTGCTCAAACCAGTTCGAGGATTTGAGGTAACCGTTGATGTGCCGACACTCGTATTTTTCAAACAGTTTTTATATAAAACAGTCTCGACAATTATTGTTAAGAAATTTTCAAGTAAAATTTCAAGTTTGTTCTTATAAAACATACATCTAAGACAAGTGTATTTTTTTTTTTATTGTAAGAGATTGAAGTAATAGATTTTTATTGTAATGCAATTTGTGTTATTACCAATATGCATTACATGTAGCGTAATGAGAATTTATTTCGAGCGTCACGAAACAAGACAAGAAACTTTGCTCGAGACTGATTTACGAATTCGTTGCCGCGGTCGATGCCGGGGCGTAAGTCGAGATTCTGTCTACATCGTGCTCCGAGATAGAGAGACGCCCGAGTCACTCCTCCCCTTACGTTTCGCCGACTAGATTTATGGGGTGTTCTACGGGGAGGAGAGGAAGACGACCCCCTCCGTAATTCACGCGTCGTTCTTTTCCGCCGACTGCGACGTCGAAGGAGCGACGCAAATAAGGCGCACCCCATTTCAGAAGGGAGTCGATCGAAATAAATATCTTCCTTCGATTTCGCCCTCGAGATGCTGGTCTTTTCTTCTATTCTGAGCGTATTTTAAGTACATTAGATGTAAATAAAAAGGATAATAACGTTTAACAAGTCGCTCTCTATAGAGATACGTCTACGCATTTCTTATCTGATCAAGCTATATATTTTTCACATGATGTAAACCTTTAAAACACTCGAGCCATTCTTTCTCTTGAGAGTAATTCCTGGTTTCCTTCGTACAAAATCCTTTCGAGAGCGTCTTGCGCAGAGAACATTGTGATTATAATTAAAATTCTTTCGACATTAGAAGGATATAATTTAGAGTTTTATATTTTTAGCATAAGTAGGAGGCATTTGCATATATAATGGGAATCAAATTAGGTGTGACATTTAAGCACGGGTAATTTACGAGAGCGTTGAACGGAAATCATGATTTTTTAATAAGTCGCAGACAGGAAGATAAGTTATCGGGGAAAAAAAAAGTTGCACAAAAGATTTCCGCATTATACACACGATGTAACATAGACGAGGATGTTTGAGTGGCAGCCGAGATGGGAAAAAGTTGATGCACGCGCTACTGTAATTACTGATAATAGTGATAATGAGCAATTAAGGAAAGAGTAAGAGGTTCGTAATGACGAATAACTATCCCGTAGAGTATATCATGCAATGCTTGAAAAACTCCTGACTGACGTGAACAATATTGCACGTTAGATAAATTACACATCGCAATCAGATTAAAACACGTTTTTGTAAAACCAAATCGATGTGAAGATTTTTTTAACAATCAACGAAAGATTGAAATGGAATTTAGATAATTGCATGTACGGAACTTCCCTTTGTGTAAGAGCCAAAATTTTATAATTGGATTATGCTTTGTAAAAGAGAGAGAGAAAGAGAGATTGTTTATTTTTCTGGAAAATAAATCTTTTGGATTACATGCGCCAATTTTCTTTGCTCTCGATACAAACTAACGTCTTCTCTTATACTTTCTTGTTAATCAACTCATTTTGTCGGATACGATATCAGAAAACGATCAAGAGCAGAATTTTGCCGCGAGCAAAGTCAGGCGGTTTGCACGCGTCTTCTGATCCAACATTCTATTTTTTTTTTTTTTTTTTTGTTTCTTCATAGCGCACGTGTCGGAAATACGAAGAAAGTATTCGAATGAGGGAGGGGAGTGCGCGAAAGTTTTGATGCAAACGGGGGAAACAATTAATCCGGCCAAGGACCCGCGCCAACAAATTCACGCGCATGTTCGCTGGAAGTTTGAGATTGCGAAATGACGTGCAAACTGAGGGACGCCCTCGTCCGCCCCCCGGCAATACGGTAATCACTATAATTACGTATCGAGCCCTTATATTAATATCCCCTAGCTACGTCTCTCTTTCCATCTTCTTCCTCGGTTCCACGGCAATTCCTCACTCGTCGCCTTAACCGCGTGAAAGCTGCCTTTTTTTCGCAACCTTTCGATCGATCGCGATTTATTATTGGCACGTCGCACGTTTCTTCGTTTGCTAACAAGTGCTTTAGGCAAAGGAAATTCTGTCGGGTCTTCACTTTGTGCGAATGATTGAAATATATTTGCCACTTTTCGGAAACACTTTGAGTGCAGGATATTATTGGAGCGGCGATTGGACGCAATTGACGTTCCCGAACAGAGACGAACAGGTATCCATATTTTCGTCACCGAATCTAATTGAGCGATTTGATTGGCAATCGTATGAATTGAATTTTCTGCGAACCCCAACCTCGATTGATTGAAAATGGCTGATTGTGACAACTGGTGATCATGTCAGTTCTCCGTATTAGAGAGTCGGGAGATGAACAATTAACGAAGGGATGCGTTTTAGAACCTCCCATTGCGGAAGTTGCGAAGGATGTCTCAAAATGAAATTTGCTAACTCGTTAGATTCTCACCGAGTTATAAATTTTTTCAAAAATTTCCCGAAATAATCGCGATCGATCTCGTCTCTTTGAATCTTGAAGAAATCCACATTTCTCGATGTCCTTACCTCAAGATACTCCGTGTCCTGAGCGGGATGTAGACTTTGCTGCGGTGTCGCTGGCGTAATTGTCATCACATTTTGCGGATGCCCGTTATGCGAATACTGATACGCGCAATTCATTTTTATTTATTTATTTTTTTTTTTTTT